GGGGGGGGGGCTGGGAAAAATAGGGGGGTGGGTCACTATTTTTGAACACGGTTGAAGGGGTGGGTCATCGAAAGTTAAGCGCAATCATAAGGGTCACAGTGGGCCATGTAAAAATATGCAGAAGATTGGGCCCCAGTCATTTTTTGTGTTAAAAATTTCCGCACAAACAACAAGATATCTGTTTTTTGGGCTAAGTACCGAAATTTGGTATGAAAAATTAAGATAAAGTCTTTGGAAAGCAATTGCAAAGTACTCATCCGGAAGAATTTTTTACCTAAAAAAGTTGTCAACGGGTTATTGTCCGAAAAAAAATTTTTTCCGGAAAAAATTGGAAAAGGGGTGGGTCATAATTTTTCAGCACCAATTTAAGGGTGGGCAACAAATTTTCGTGCAGCTATTAAGGGGTGGGCTACCAAAAGTGCAGACATGAAATATGATTTTCCCAGCCCACTCCCCCCTTTTACTTTATGACCGGTCCCTCACAAACCCTGATAAGGCATGTATATGTATACCAAGGCATGTATATGTATACCTAAACATGTTATAAAGTCAGCCCTCGGAAGTGAGATCGGCATTTGACAGGCTGTAAAGTACCTGGGTCATTAGAGCATCAAGCATTTTAGCTGCTTCGTTACTTGGAGTTGATAGAGATATGCCATAATCTTTCCAGCCCTGACATATGGGAAAAAAGTCAAATGAATGCAATATTGCAAAGTTATATACCTTGAAATACCTCATTCAACATAAAATTCATATGAACAAATATACAGTCCTTGAGCCACTTACCTGTAGGTCTTTCCACTCATGTTCAGTGACAATACACTGTGTCATTTCTGTCAATTAACTTTCAAACACACTGTCAACAAATGCACAAGAGGCTTCTGTTCAGAGCATGTTTTGGTTTGATATTTACAGGTAGTTAGGATTTATTCTTATCTAAATTCAAATCAACTTTGTAACAAAGGGAGAAATATCAATATTAACAAAGATGTATACAAAGTACAGGTGTTTTATGATATGGGAATTTTAAATATTTAAGTGTCCAGGAGATGCGATAAATTTACATTCATTCATCAGATAGTGGATATGTTTGAGGCAAAACTATCATTCTCTTTTATTACAGTAAAAAAATATAATAAACCACTTACCTATCTGATATTGATATTTCACATTTTTAGACCAAATACTGTGAAGGAAATTTTAAAAATTCTTGCAAAATGTTCTCTATAAAAAATATTTTTAAAATTTCGTTCAAGTTGCAAAAAGATCGTGATATATTCGTAGACTGTCGTAAGACAATCGGCGTTTGTCTGTCTGTCTGTTCAGTTATGTGTTTGTCTGTAAGGATTTGAATCTCTTATCGAACGATTAATACGATTATGGGCCTATTAAATCACTTAAATGTACAACCAATACAACCTCTGACTACAAATCTTTAATAAGTTACAATATTTTATACACTAAATATATATACAGTATACAATCTTACAAATTATTTAGTGAAATGCCTATTTAAAGGATACATAATACGGGTTGTTCAAGAACAAGCATCTTTCCTGACATCTTTCTATCATAAACTAAACTTTGTCTTCAATTCCGATATATGATTGAGCAATTTTAATGCAGGTCCCAATTTGAATTGCATACACGACATAATAGTCTCGCGGTTCAATAACAACAATGCTCCACCATCAATTTCCTACAAATCAATGTAAATTTAAGCTAGAAGTCAGAGAAATTACAGATTCAAATAATTCAATTATGGATATTATATATTACAACAAAGACAACAAACACCACCAAAAACATTAGAAAACAGTTCCAACTCGCATTTCTGATAATGTAAGTATAGAATGGAACAAAGGTAACCAAGCATTTAAAATAAATACGCGAGTTAATTGATGACTCACATGCCTAGTTACCACTGTTCTGAGAATGCAACCACAGAATGGAACAAAGGTAACCAAGCAATTAAATTTTATATGTGAATGAATTGGGTGTTGCATTGGAGTGCGATAGTATAAAACAATACGTACGTGTTGTCTAAATAGTTCAGCGTATTTTGAAATGTCTGATTTTTTGAAATACTCGACAACTTCGTCAATACTCCATGTGAGAGGAGATGAGGTGGATCCAACATCTGAAACTATTATAATAAGTGTAGTGTTAGTGCACTGTGGTTTCACCTCAGTCTCCAACTGGGATTTCTGTAATATGCGGTTGTTTAGTGTTTACTTAAGCCTGGTTTAGTTTCTGTGATCACAGTAGGAATTTTGCATAGGTAAATTCTAAGTTTTGAAGGATTTGTAAGAAATGTTTGAGGGCACTGACTGTTTTACAATGAGTTCATTCCCTCAAAGATTTCTTACAAATCTTTCAGAACTTCATCTGTGATCAGAGAAACTTGAAAAGTGTGAATCAGCCTTTACAATTTCACTTCAGTCACATGCAGCCTGCTCGCAGCCTGGAATTTAGAAAGGGGAGGCTGCGAGCAGGCTACATGTGAGAAGACTTGACCAAACACAGCAAGCTTTCTCTGGGTAGCATAAGTTTCTCTCCGTAAGACAAGGGAAAATAATGCGGAAGAACAGTTTCCTGCGTGTTTGGTGAGGGAAGGATAGAGCTTGGCTTGCGAGATCAATTTTTAGAACAGATAAAACTATCCAATATAAAAAAAGTTAGTTAGACCTCCTTGCGCTTCTTCATTTACAATTCTTCTAATTTTCGTCACTGGTTCTTCCCTTTCTTGTTCTTTTCGTCTTAATTCTTGATTTCTTAATTCTTGATTTCTCAATTCTTGATTTCTTAATTCTTCCATTTTTAATTCTTCATTTCTAAGTTCTTCCATTCTCAGTTCGTTCCTTCTTCTTTCTTGTTCGGCTAAGCGCCTCTCTTCCATCACTCTTTTTCTACCTGAATACAAATTGATCAATCATAATTGAAAGTACAGGTCACGAAGAGTTGAATTCAAGGACTTTCAAGGGACAAGGCCACGTATCAGGAAATTCGAGGACTAAAGAGAAGGTGTTATAAAGTTATAAACCAGTAAAAAGTGACGTTTTTAATGAATTTCAACTAAGCTTTGGCATTGGTAAGACATGAACAAAATCAATTTACAAAATGTCCAATTCTTAATGCCAAACAATTTCAGAAAATATCTACCAAACAAGAACAATTTAAGGACTTTCAAGCACTTCTTTATGAACTCAAGGACTTCCAAGTCCTTGAATTTTTGCTTCCAAATTCAAGGACATTCAAGGATTTTCAAGTTTTGTACGAACCCTGACGACCATACGACATACTCCATACCTTGGTCATTGCATTTTGGACATACACCTTGCAGCTTCTCTGATGAAAACAAATTCTTGCAACAACGTAGGTTGTCAGTAAAACGTCCAAATACGTTCCAGAATACCCAAATATGGTCAACACTTTGCAGACAACATGTGTATGTATCTTGACCATGCTTTGCTTTGATCACAATCTGCGAACGATATAATATATTCAACTTAGTAAAGCCTTGTTTACACTATCAAAGTTTCTGTGATCACAGTAGGAATTTTGCATGGGTAAATTCTAAGTTTTGAAGGATTTGTAAGAAATGTTTGTGGAAGCTGACTTAGTGTTAAATACCGAGTCAGTTCTCTCAAACATTTCTTACTTTATTTATCGATGCAAAATTCCTACTGTGATCACAGAAACTTTGATAGTGTAAACCATCCTTAAGTGTGTTCTCCAAAGCATCAAATATTTCGTACACTTTATATATACAGTCAATTTTAGCAAAAGAACAGGGGTTGGTTGTTCGAGGGCTGGGTTAGCTTAACCCTAGGTTAATCTAAAATTCAAAGCTAACTTCCCAACAGCTTGCTTATAAATTTGAAAATATTTCTTCCGAAATCTTGTCTGGATCAGTAGGAGTTTTCTTCTCTGAAGTTTTGAATTAAACAGACGTGCAGAAATACACAAACTAAAACAGCAGGTTTAATTTTAACCCAGGGTTAGCGCTAATCCAGCTTTGAACAATGAACAACCGACCCCAGGTCGAAAATCCTTCTCACCTTTCCCCTCCCAGGCCGTAGAAAACCAATGACAATGCTAGGATTGTAGGCGGCGTTTACAATGGCCTGGATACTAGTCTGAAGTACTTCGCGCACATTGCCTCTATAAGCTGGTCGGAGCTCAGAAACCTTGGAAGGATCAAGATATGAACCAAACTCACAGCTAAAGTTCACATACAACTCGACTAGAAAAAAGAAAGTGTTCAAAGTAAGAAAACCTTGACTTGGCTAAACATGTTAGTCTTGTATAATTATGAGACGTTGAAATTAATGCCTTGTTAACATGACTGAGCTAATTAAAGCCTCGGTCAAATGAAGATGAAAGTTGACGAGACCACTCATCAATCCTCACCAACGTTGAATTGGTTCAATTTTTTTATTAGAATTGATAAAAGTCGTTTGACCAGTAATATAAACTCTCATCAATCTCATGCAAACTCTCGTTCTCGTTTGAGGAAACTCTCATGCAATTGCAAACTCTTGTTCTCGTTTGAGAAAACTCTCATGCAAACTCTTGTTCTCGTTTGAGAAAACTCTCATGCAAACTCTTGTTCTCGTTTGAGAAAACTCTCATGCAAACTCTTGTTCTCGTTTGAGAAAATTCTCATGCAAACTCTTGTTCTCGTTTGAGAAAACTCTCATGCAAACTCTTGTTCTCGTTTGAGGAAACTCTCATGCAATTGCAAACTCTCGTTCTCGTTTGAGAAAACTCTCATGCAATTGCAAACTCTCGTTCTCGTTTGAGAAAACTCTCATGCAAACTCTTGTTCTCGTTTGAGAAAACTCTCATGCAAACTCTTGTTCTCGTTTGAGGAAACACTCATGCAATTTCAAACTCTCGTTCTCGTTTGAGGAAACTCTCATGCAATTGCAAACTCTCGTTCTCGTTTGAGAAAACTCTCATGCAAACTCTCTTGTTCTCGTTTGGGAAAACTCTCATGCAAACTCTCGCTTGTCAAATCTAGATCAATTGTGATCATCAACTCTCATTTTCGTTTCATCAGTCACTAAGCAATTTTCTAAGCTTTTAAAGGGGTTAGGGTTAAAATAAGGTAGTAATATAACCACTCAGCACAGCATTACTACCGTGTTTCTCCTGTAGTACAGATACCCTCACGCCTTATAGCTTAGAAAAGACAGAGGTACCAAGTATAAACATATTAAGTAACTTCAGGCTTCCTACTATAGTTCATATAAACAGGGCTGCAAATAAATATTTGACTTGACAGGACATTTGTCCGATCACTTTTAATTTTGGTCGGACATAACTTGAATTTGGTCAGACAAAAACCAACATCACTAAATTTGGTCGGACATATATACAGTATGTCACAAGATATATATAAGTCACGAGACAAGTATGTATAGCCATTCCGGCGAAACGTTAAGTAAAATGCTAGAATGCCTCGTAAATTTTATTGCAAAATGCAAATTGAGTGAATTTACAATCGGAGTTTGTCACAGCAAAAAAATGTATAATGTGACAATTTTTTTGTGTGATCGGACCAATGTCCGATCAAAATTACTTTTGCTCGGACATTTGCCAAATTTAGTCGGACATTGTCCGATGTCCGACAGTAATTTGCAGTCCTGTATAAGGTATGATTCTGAGGTTTTCTCACATACCAGGTACAGGAATACTGAATGGAAGATCAATGGGAGATTCACCCGATGCTGAATCAGCACTTTCCACAGCAGGAATTACACGAAGAGTCCTTTGTCTTGATTGAAGCGAGGCTGTTGGCTCGTCATCATCGAGAGGATGGAATGATTTCTCCTTCTGTGAGAACGAAGCCCTGGAATCAGTAAACGACAAAGACATTAACAATTTTGGTAGTAATTTTTAGTCTATTTTTCTAACACGGTTGCCATGGGACAGCACCAACGAAGCACCCAATTCATTAATTGGAGAGGTTCAGGTTGACTTCCACTACCAATACTTCTCACTGGTCCTAATTGGTTAATCGGATATATGAACGCATTTTCATACGCCAGAATGACATCTTATCCTGTGGGGCCTTTACAAGAAGTTCCTTCTTACTTAAATTTTGCATATTCTGGTCCAGGAGCTTGAAGAGGATGTCCACTGAAGTAACACCAGCCTGGTGGGAAAATATCTCTCGAGTAGAAAGGATATTTATACGCAGTGTCCTTCCATCCGTCAAATGCTATGATCACATCATCTCCGATTACATCAAGTACTGTGCCAACACAGACCAGGGCGGGATTTTTGAGATCAACTGCTTCGAGTTTGAAAGTGGGACAAAATAAGTTCACTTTTGGAGTATTCGGTACCTGTGAAAGAAAATATCACTCCGATTTATACTAGAGACAGAGCAACGTCCAGATTCATATTCGCCTGAGTATAAAAATCATATACCTTTTTGAATAGCCTCAAGGGTGCCAGTTCACCATTTGCTAAAGCTTTTTTAAGAAAACTTTTAAAACTGTTCCCCTCCATACGGAAACCTAAAACATACAAATGCTAGCTGATGAGGAGGATATCGTGAGCCTGATAATGATGATACTGGTGATAATATCGGTGATGAAGGTAGTGACAATGATCATATTGGTGATGGTAGTGATGGTGGTGGTGGTCATGTTGGTGATATCCGTGATGATAATATTGGTGATGATAATTATTATGATGGTGGTGGTGGTCATGTTGGTAATGATATCCGTGATGATGGTAATATTGGTGATGATAATTATTATGATGGTGGTGGTGGTCATGTTGGTGATGATATCCGTGATGATGGTAATATTGGTCATGATAATTATGATGATGGTGGTGGTGGTCATGTTGGTAATGATATCCGTGATGATGGTAATATTGGTGATGATAATTATTGATGGTGGTGGTGGTCATGTTGGTGATGATATCCGTGATGATGGTAATACTGGTGATGATAATTATTATGATGGCGGTGGTGGTCATGTTGGTGATGATATCCGTGATGATGGTAATATTGGTGATAATTATGATGGTGGTGGTGGTCATGTTGGTGATGATATCCGTGATGATGGTAATATTGGTGATGATAATTATGATGGTGGTCATATTGGTGATAATTCTGTGATATTGGTCGTGATAATATATTTGATGATATACACACTTTTGAAGAACATTTGAAAAAGGCAAATTCAGGATCTGAGGAACATTAAACACTTTCAGGTTTAAATGATAATTAGAGTTAGTAAGAGTAGCATTGAGTAGCATATACTATCTTACCTACAGGAGGTTTGAGTACACCACCATTGCCTTCACACCAGCCAACAGGATGAATATCTCCAGAATCAATCACCCTCCAGATGTCATGCAAATTATCACAACCATCAAACCTGAGACGAAGACGGGAACCGATAACTCCTACCACAGTAGCTACACACACCGCTCCTTCGTTTCTAGGGTCGGCTGCTTCCAGCTTCATACCGCATTGAAAACCATTGAATGGTGGAGTCGCCGCCTGGATAGGGTCATCATTAAAATATTACATTATTAGACAGGTTCAGATCGAAGTCATTAAATGAAGTCATTCGATGAAGTCATTCGATGAAGACTCTCCTTTTTAATAAGGCCCATGCACGAACGTTTTGAACAATAACTTTATATTCGTATTTTTATACCATACATCTATGTTATACATTTATAAACTTATTCTGTATATACATTTGTATATTTTATATATTAGCATAGGAATTAAGGATGTAGAGCTACTATGTAGATATGCCTTAATAAATTCGTTATTATTATTATTATTATTATTATTATTGTCTCGTGTGTACTCAAGCAAATTCGAGACATGTCTATTGAAAGTGTAGATCTTACAACGTGCCCGGCGAAGGAAAGTAAAAATCAGCAAAAAGTATATTGTACCTGTTTGAAGCAGGTCCAAGGGGCTGCGATACCCTTTGTTTCTGCGAGGTATTCGTCCCATGAAAACGTTGAAAGACACAGGTTTTGACTTGGGCCGTCTAGAACATGTATACACAATTTCGACCAAACCAGTTGCGAAAAATTGAACGATTGCGATGACGTACTCTGACAACTAAGCTAGACAGTCGTCATTGGCAGGGTCGTTGAGACCCGAGTGCCTTGGGCACTGCATATCTCTCGGCAGTCCTGGTCATGAGGTAGACAAATTCATGGATATTAGAGTGATATCAGTGAACATTTGTGGATATTAGGTCATGGATATTAGAGTGATATCAGTGAACATTTGTGGATATTAGGTCATGGATATTAGAGTGGTATCAGTGAATATTTACCTTTTTGTTTGGTTGATTTCTCGGCAAATTGCCCTGGTTCTTCATTTGCAGCCTAGACAAATAAAGTCAACGTGCATTTCTATTCTGCATTGTATTCAATGAAAACTTTTTAAAAACAACAGGCTCACACCAATACATGTGTTATATATTTATTATTTATATGTATAGGAAATAATTTTACAACATCTAAAAAGCAAGTGATCTATAATATAAACTCGACCTAATGTTGTTTTTCGTTTTGCTTCACGCGAAACAAATTCACGTAGTGGGAAATCTAATGATGTCTATCATTGCGTACACGTCATAGGAATATATTGCGTCACGTTTGCAATATAACCGGCCTCGGTGCGTGCTGGGTTGGCGTCAGTTTTGGTCACTACAGGAACATTGACCCCTTGATAAGCGAGGTGACTAACACCCGGTACGTGATTATGTCCTCCGTGTGCACAATTACAGTGCCCTGGTAATGCATTACACATGACTATGGGTACGGATGTCCCAGTCATATATGTCCCTGGTACAAAAGTTCCGAGTACATGGGGTATCGGAAGTCCTGGGACCGAACCCCCTGCTATTGAAACGCCGGGCATCGGAGGTCCAGAGGCCGAAACGCTGGGTACCGATGTTCCAGGTATTGATGACGTGGCACCATGGTTATGCTGGGGTGTCTCGCTGATTGCGTAGATGGTGATTTTCGGTGCCTGCATTGTCAAGGTCTTCTGACAGCGGTTACAGATGCCCGCGTGAGACAGCCATTCGGGCTGGTAGGTAAAAAGTTGCGGGTGATGTACCCTTTGAATGATTTCAGGTTTAGTACCAACGAAAGCAGTAGAGCACATGATGCAGTTCCAGAAACGCAAGGTGGTGTAGCCTTCAAGTGAATCCGGGCGAGGAATACTCATCGTTATGCAGAACCTAGTCATGTCCGCGTTGCCCTGAAACGGCAAGAGAAAATGGTTTTAGATCATTGTGTTTGATGCGTACGCTTATCAGTGAAGTAAGCAGCGACTGTATCTGACTACACGGACTTTCTTACAAGTCTGATAAGTGATTATGAAATACTACCGGTATCGAAATATCAGGAAATCATGTTTAAAGTTTTGTTTTAGTTCATATCTTGGGTCTACGTGTTTAACCACATCCCTTATCCTAATTGTAAAGTGTAGTTTTACCTCAGTCCTGACATATTGCTAACAAGAAGTCTAAACTACCGTTTTTTTAGACCGCCTACCAGGCTTTATTTTACAAATCAACCTGATAATCACGTTAATAGCACTAGTACTACCTCGCACCTGGAGCTGGATGAGATGAAGGCTACACCAGATTTGCGTTTCAATACTGCATATACTTTTTTCTCCACAAAAACACCATTTAAACTATTAAAAGCCTACACCTATATTTCTTAAAATTTTAGGTATATATATATATATATATATATATATATATATATATATATATATATATATATAAT